AAAATTACAGATGAACGAACAAAGAAAATTTTCGCTCAGCTTAATATTCATTTATGAATATTAAGATGAGACTTTGAGCAACAGGATTTGCATAAGACCACTTGCCTGAACATCAAACAAGATGACAGCAACACACATCTCAACGGTTAATGCTGACATGAACATCACAAATGAGTACGCGGTTAAGTTCGGTGTTGAGATCAACGCACCGATCGAAAGGAACATCCTTCTGAATATAACTTTATCAAGAATATTTCACCGACAAATATACTATCAAGCGATAGCAGAAGTGGAATCAGCTCGATCTGAATCAAGTTTGCGACCATGAACTTAAAGCAGATAAATGCTCATCCCACCGGGGTTTATTACGGAGTAGTTTCTGCCTACGGTCGGTTCTGCCTCTGGTTTGAAGATATGCGATATTTATGAGCATCTTTAACGAGTCAACATAATCAGAATGTATTTAAGCGCATGAACAAACAAACCTATCTCCATCGTGAACTTTGATATGAACGAGATCATTCGGCGAAAATGTTTCCTGAGAACGATTGTAATAGGAGATTCGATTGATATTGAATGCTGCCTCGGTGTATCGTTTCTTTTGAATCAGCCATCTGGGTGACTCCAACCAGAACAACATAAGCGCTAATACGGGTAGTGATGATGCATTCATCACCAGCAAATAACGTCGCCATTCACCCGTCAAATACGCACACAAAGATGATACCTGAGCTTTTACATACACATTCGGACCGAATTACGGATAATCTTCTTTGTGAGAATGGACACAAATCAAGCATCTTCATCACTACCATAATTGTTATTGATATGCGAATCAAAAAGTGAAATCGCAACGACTGAAACTGAATCAGCTTGAATGAAATTTAGGGGTTGATTCCAAAACGAAGCCTCGGTTGGAGTTACACTAAACTAGGCTTAGGCCTACTTCGAGGAGCAAGATCCACTCCAGGTCCAGATCAGCGAAACTGTGCACAGAGATAGACTTACTTGTAAGGCGAGTGACCACTGAAAAGCGAGAGTTTGCACGATGCGATATCGCCTGCCAACCGTTTCACAAGCCAGCGTCATGCTCGCATCTATCAAAACACCATACGAAAATCCCATACCCAACATCGCAAACGCTAACATCTGCCAATTCACTGACAGTGCTCCCATGAAACCGAAAACAGTCATTTGCACAGCACCCGAATACGTCACCCATTTCCTGGAAACAAAATGAAACAAAACTTATACTAGAAGAATAAAATAACATTATGCGTGAAGTCGTATATGATGGATGATCGGTCGGAACATTATCGCGTTTTTCAAATTGACGAATATCTTTAAAGCGCTCATGGTCATCATGTGTGTCTTTTAATCATTAGATGCTTCATTTCAGTGGGTTAGATGAATGTTAAGCTTGGAACTGATGCGTAGCGTTAACTTCGCCTGAAGCTGAAATTTTGGGTTGAACCAATGATCAAACACCTATATGTGATCAAATGATACAAAGTTGTTTGGAATAGACACGAGATCGTTGTATGCTTAGGAATGAAAGCAGCAAACCTGCCGTAATAATCGGCGATATGCCCTGCAAGCAACGCACCAACAGCTGATCCAATCGCTTGAATTGTTTGCAGATGTTGTGGGAGATTGGTGTGCGGACAGACGATATCACCTTCGTACAGTGACCCAAATATGACTTCAGTTTCATTGACTGGGCACTGTGCTAACAACGCGCATGGGTCATTTGCCTGAAATGCCTCCGTATTCTCAAAATTTTGGTATTTCTGCAGTTAGTGAAATATTA